CATCCTACAGGATAGAAATCTTTCTCAGTCCTCAACTTCTAGGTACATTGCTTTTATCCATTCAATCTATTATCCTTTCAATTTATTAGATCTGGCAGCTTGGAGAAACTCGCATGACCTGCTGCCTAATTTCTTTCCTCTCTTATAACTCCTCAAGGCATTTTTTTCCTAGGAATTAATTTGACACTGCCACATGTTGTTACTTGTCTTTGCCTTGGGCCAATAGCAATCTATTTCCCTGGAAAATCGAATGCATTGTAGTCCTTATGTTGGCACATTATCTGTTAGGATTAATTTGGAAAAGTCTACATTGAATAATCAGTGAAGCAGGCTTTGAAAATGCACAGCATTATCCCTTTATTGCAGAAGATAATTTCATTGGTTCCTAGAGAAAATAAACAACAATGGCGTGTCACGTGCCATTTTCTGTTGGGCCAAGTAATACTGTTAAGGAGGACCAGATGCCCACGGCAGCATTCTCTTTCCAACACTTTCAACAGTGTTTTTATTTTGAAAGTAAAGAAATCTTTGTGTCTAGCCCTGGGATTTATTCTTTTAGGATCTATTGGTGACTGTGCTCATTTTAGGAGGGACAAGGTTGAATATGTCCAGGGGATATTGATAGTGGTGGGTGTGTGTGTGTGTGTGTGTGTGTGTGTGTGTGTGTGTAAAAATTGTTACTTGAGTGTGGGGAGGGTTATTTTAAATTCAGTTTAACAATTTTTTAAAGCATTTCTTTTGAATACAATTCTGTTCCTGGTGCTGTGGGTGTACAAAAAGGAAAAACAATAAAATCCTTTCCCAGGTCTTCACATCCCTTCCCTCCACCCCCTCCCTGCTAGTGCCTTCTTTGTGAGATTACCTTACATTTACACAGTTTATATCTTGTATTTACATAGTTGTTTAAGTATGTTGTCTCCTCTCCTCAAATGTGAGCTTCTTGAGGGCAAGGATTGTGTTTTTACTTTTCTTCATATTCTCAGCCCACAGTAGAGTGTCAGGTGGAAGAGGGATTAGCTTTATTCTGCCTGGCCCCAGGGGACAAAACTAGGAGCAACGGGGAGGAGTCCCAAAGAGGAAGAGCTGCCTGCCTCAGTTTCCCCATCTGTAAAATGGGGAAAATAATAATACCAACTACCTCCCAACGTTGTTATGAGAATCACATGGAATAATAATTGTAAAGTACTTAGCACAGTGCCTGGCACGTGGTTGCTGTTGTTTGTCCTTTGTTTTCAAAGAGGACCAGTGGCATCACAGGTGATGTCTTAACTCTTGTGCGAATTCGCTTTCAGTGAGGCAGAGTTGCACAAAGTCATTGGGCCTCACTCTCTTTTCCTGAGTCATCGATGTCCAGTGGCAAGACAAGAGTCAAGACAACTGGTGATGACCCAGAATGCAGTGGATGACCATGGCATCGTCATGTCTGACAAACCTCTAAGAGCTCCATAGCACCTGCTTCAGCCACCTTCATAGCCACTGGAACAAATTGTTCTCATCTGCCCATTGCACTGGAGGAAGTCGTCACATGCTTGGGGTAGATGCCCCCTTAACTCACCAATGGGTCTATGGCCTCAGCTTGGTTTAGCCCTTCTGCTGAGATGGTTTCACCAGGGTGTGGCCGCTATGCAAGGTAACAGCTTCTTGGAGCCACAGGTGCTATATAAATGTTAGCTAATTATCACCATGGCCACCACCACCACCACCACCATCATCATCATCATCACTACCACCACACCACCACCACCACCACCACCATCATCATCATCATCATCATCACCACCACCACCACCACCATCATCATCATCATCACCACCACCACCACCACCATCATCATCATCATCACTACCACCACCACCACCACCACCACCACCACCATCATCATCATCATCACCACCACCACCACCACCACCACCATTATCATCATCATCATCATCATCATCATCATCATCATTATCACCACCACCATCATCATCATCATCATCATCATCATTTTTTGACCAGATGTCTGCAAAATCTTCCTAACAATTAGACCTCTCCAGAAGAGGGAGGGGCCAAGGCCATGGCCATGTATCAGGGATATTGTTTGTAGAGGGCTTCCTGCTCAAGTTAACTGTTGGTCTCCTGAGTCGCCATCATTCCAACATCAGCAGATTTTGTTTTGGTTTCCAGCGCATGAATTGCCCTCTTAGGAGTCCTGTGTTATATCCAGTTATGGGCACAATGTCTGAAGCAGAGAATTGATAAGACAGAGCAAGTCCAGAGGAGGAGCCACAAAGGTAAAGACCTCTCCATCCATAGCCTGTGAAGTTTTCTAGAAAGCACTGCACATGCTTAGTGTGAAGATAAGAAGACTCAGGAGGAATATGGAAGCCAGCTTCAAGTATTGTAGGTCTATCATAGGAAAGAGCAAGTAGACTTGTTTTGCTCTGCCTGAGGGGGTTGGAGTCAGCTGCAACGGGAGGTCGAAGGTACAAAAAGGCAGATTTAGGTTGCCAGGGTGGAATGGGCTGTCTCTGGAGAGGGTGGACTCCCCCTTGTTGGAGAATTTCAAGCACAGACTGCATGGCCATTTGTCAAACGTGCTGGAGAGAGATTCTTGTTGGGGTCCCGTTTGTACTAAAGTGGTCTCTAAGACGCTGGGATTCTATGATTCTTCAATTATAAGTGATGATGATGATGATGGATATTTTGTCCTCTCCATGGAAGGAGGGAAAGAAAGAGGGAGGGAGGGGAGAAGGAAGAAAAAAGGAAGGAAGGAAGGAAGGAAGGAAGGAAGGAAGGAAGGAAGGAAGGAAGGAAGAAGGGAGGAAGGAAGGAAGGAAGGAAGGAAGGAAGGAGGGAGGAAGGGAGGAAGGAAGGAAGGGAGGGAAGGAGGAAGGAAGGAAGGAAGGAAGGAAGGGAGGAAGGAAGGAAGGAAGGGAGGAAGGAAGGAAGGAAGGAAGGAAGGAAGGAAGGAAGGAAGGAAGGGAGGGAAGGAAGGAAGGAAGGAAGGAAGGAAAGGAAGGAAGGGAGGAAGGAAGGAAGGAAGGAGGAAGGAGGAAGGAAGGAAGGAAGGAAGGAAGGGAGGAAGGAAGGAAGGAAGGAGAAGGAAGGAAGGAAGGAAGGAAGGAAGGAAGGAAGGGAGGAGGGAAGGAGGAAGGAAGGAAGGAAGGAAGGAAGGAAGGAAGGAAGGAAGGAAGGAAGGAGGAAGAGAGGAAGGAAGGAAAGAAGGAGGGGGAAAGGAAGGGAGGAAGAAAAGAGGGAGGAAGAAAGAAGGAAGAAAGGAAAGGAGGGAGGGAGGAGAGAGGAGAAGGAAGGAAGGAAGGAAGGAAGGAAGGAAGGAAGGAAGGAGTGAAGGAGGGAGGTCAGTTTTCCCTTCCTGCCTTGCAATGGTGTCCCAGCAGAAGGGGGTGACGAGACTTGCCTTCAGAAGGTGCCACAGGGTGTGTTCCATGATTCCAATGGAATGTTGCACAATTTCCCCAAACAAAAGTAAATTGCTTTAATTAAAAATGCAATAGCTGTACACTTAGCCAATGTTCCTTAACAGGGAATCTGGCCAGAGGTCTAATTGAAGCTGGAGGTGTGACCCAGCAGCCTCCTCAGAAGCTTTGTACATTACTGTGTTCAGCCTCCCTCCTCCACCTCCGCTATGGTCTAAGGGGCAGCTAGATGATTACTTTTCCTGGCTTAGTGGGACTGCTTCTAGATGGATCTGCCTGAGCTTCTCACGATCTGTGCAACTTCGACTTCTCCTCCCTGGGCTTCAGCTTCCTCCTTCATAAAGCCCAGGGGCTAGGTGGAATGATTGTCAAGGTCATACAACTATAATTTGGAAAAGGGACAGGCTTCTCTGGGTCCATCTAGTCCAACTCCGTCATTTTTACAGAATTGGAGACCCAACATCCTGACCTAGGGAGTTCAAGGGGCTTGGCCCAGGACAAACTGCATTTCAAACCCAGGTTCTTAGACCACAAACCCAATCATCTTTCACTTTTACTCTGAGCCATCAAATAGATATCTAAAAGTGCTTGTGCCTTTGTGAGGGGGTGTGGTGGAAGAAGAAAGGTCTTAGTCTTGGGAAATCCTGTTGGTCTTCTGTCTACCCAATCTAGGGCTTTTTCCTGTCATGGCGGGGAGGGCTGGAGTGAGAGCTTGCCCTGGTGGACAGTAGAACACTGGCTGTAGACTGCAGATCTGAACTCTGATGATTATTACCTGGTTGACCTGTGTACATCACTTAACCTATACCTGGGCCTTAGTTTCCTCTCCTGTCAAATTGGATTCGATAGCCTAAATTCTAGAGCTATAACTCTATGACCCTCTACCGTGGAGAGGGATCTTTTCATATTTTGTACTTGTGTCCCCAGTGCCTGGTACATAGCAGGTACTCAATATTTGTTGATTGATTGATTGACAATGACTCTGAGCCTCAGTTCCTCCTTTGTAAAATAATGGGGTTGAAGTAGATGGCCTCCGTGGTTCCTTCCTACCCTAAATCTACAATCCTATAATCCTATATTAGCTAGGATTCATTATAGTTTATTGCAATGTTTTCTGGGCCATGGACCCATTGGGCAGTCAGTCTGGTGAAGCTTGTGGACCCCTTCTCAGAATCATGTTTTGAAATGCATAAAATAAAATGCACAGGATTACAAAGGTAACCAACTATATTGAAGTCACCAGAATATTTTAAAAACAAGTTCATGGCCCCCAGGTTAAGAACTCGTGGCCTACAGGAATGGGACGGTTGGGTAACCAGTGCCTGGTGTGTCAATGTGATCGGGGATGACGGGGGTGAGGCCATGCTTGCGTCTGCTTGGGGGAGCCTGTCCCCCTCCCTTGCAACTCAATCACCAAATATGTCCATGCTGTTCAGTCACTCCTGAGGCCTGCCCCTGGAAGTATCCGTCTCTAGGCCAAGCCTGGAGCTGGCCCCGACTATTTTTAGGAATGACTTGTCCACTCAGCTGCTGCTGTTATCACTCTGGGGTGTGGGGCCTGGGGCTGGGGGAGGGAGGACAGTGAGCTGCTTGGTTTTTGCCACTCTCAGCCTCCTGCTTTCCCTGCTGCCCTTAGGATCCCTTAGCTGCTAATAGAGACGCTCGGCCCAGCGTGCCCCATTCCCCGTTACCTGAATCCCAGCGTGCTGCTTACTAAAGAAGGTATGTTAGTTCTTTATTTGGGGGGGATGTGTATGGGGGCAGTTTTCATCTCCAAATGGTTTACTTGGGAGGGTCCCATTTGTTGGATTCCTAACTCAAAGGGAGGACTGGAGGTCTATTTTTAGATTTTCCCTTTTTGTTTCAGTCACTTTAATTCTCTGGGCTTGTGGGGGAGAACGCTGGAGTAGGAATAGTAGAGACCCCTCCCTTAGGTCCATTTCTAGACAAGTGAGTTTCAGCTCACTTGTTCAGAGCATGGTTATTTCCTTAGCTTTTTACATTTTTTTCTCCTCTTTGGAGATAATAGGAAAATTGGACCATGTGTTCTTAGGTGTCTGATCTATGGGTTCTGTAATTTCCCCCACTATCACCCTCTTCAGGGTCCATTCTATGATTTCTCCTTACCTAGGTTCCAATTCTCCAGTCCAGTGGGAGTATAAGGGATTCTCCTAATTATTTTCTGTGACTAGTTAGGCGCCAGCATCAGCTGGGTTTCTCAGCATTTTCTTTTGACCCTGGGGCTCGCTGGTGGCCTTTAAAATTCCAAGATCAGCTGTTACTTTGAGTGGAGCTATAACATGGCAATGATTTGCCAGTAACTGCTCCTGGACCCACTGAAGGCCCAGAGGAGAGAAGATTCATAGGTCTCAGGAGAGAGCCTGGATGGACTTTTACATGGAAACCCCCCAAGAGACGGTCGCCTTGCTGTTCTGCAGGTGTAGTCTAGAAGGAGAATCAGGCAGAAGGCACCATGTCTGCCAAAGTTAGCTTCTGTCCACACTGGGGTTGAAGGAGCTGGGCTTGGAGCTCAGGGCCTGGATGGCAGTGGGTCTGACCCTGGAAGGTGGTTTGGGGGTACCTTCCTCTCCAGGGCAGTTCAGAGGGCCTCTGGCCCCACTTGATGTACTCTTGAATGGGGTACAAGTTGGTTACTGCTACTAGTTAAATGTTAGGAAAAAAACCAATGCTGCGTGTGTACTTTTTTCTTTTCTTTTCTGTTTTTTGGCTAGGCAATGGGGTTAAGTGACTTGCCCAGGGTCACACTGGTGTCATGTGTCTGAGGCCAGATTTGAACTCAGGTCCTCCTGACTTCAGGGCCTGTGCTGTATCCACTGTGCCACCCACCTACCCCGTGTGTGCTTTTTTCTCCCTTTCCCAAAACATCTACCTGAGGATTATGCAATGGGACCAGATAAAGAACCAGTAAAGCCTCCCCGCCTCCATTCTTTTCAGGGAGAGGCATATATGTGTGTGTTGTGTGTGTGATGTGTGTATGTTATATGTACGTTTATGTTGTATGTTTGTGGTATGTATGTGTCGTGTGGGTGTAAGGAGTCTGGACCGCGCGTATAGAATACTCCACATACTGTCAGACAGAGCTGATGTGCTAGGTTTCTATCTTTCACGTTTCTTTTTTCATCTTTGTTACAAGGAGTGATTGTGGGGTAGGGGAGGGATATACTTGGAAATGAAGGTAGAAGGGAAAAACCCCAATAATATAAATACTATTGAAAAATTAACGAGAACAAAGTCAGTGCAGCCTCAAGGCCCAGCAAGCGGTAAATGTTGTGTGTCATTTCAGGGCTCTGGGCAGAGGGGAAAAGACCAACAACCTTGAGTCAGAGAGCAAGACTGAAAGGAAATGTAAGGCCTCGGCAGCCAAGGATGCCCACAGTGGCCTCCTGAGGACTGCAAGGCTCAGTTTTGAGAACTTAGTGCTTCATTATCGAGTGAGATGATATTTGTAGAATGCTCAGCGTTTCCCCACCATCCCTGGAATACTCTCCCTTCTGTCCTCGGCCCCTTAAAATCCCCAACATCCAGCAAAGCTCAGGGACCACTTCCTCTAGGAGGCCCATGCTGAGCCCCCCAGCTGCTAGGACCCTAACCCTCCCCCCAAATATTTTGATTTGTGTTTTCTACTCCTGACTTTTCAGGTACATTTGTATTTACCAACATACACATATATACATGTATGTACACATACATATACATACATTCAGCTAGTAAGTGTCTGAGGTCAGATTTGAACTCGGGTCTCCTAACTTCACTTATATACATATGTCTGTGCATGCACACACATACACATGTATGTACACATAATATTATATATTATACAATGTACATGTGTATATGCAATATGTATATACACACATGTATATGTTTGTGTATGTGTGTGCACAGATATATGGGTACACACACACACACACGCATGCATATACCTGGACTCAGAAGTTGAGTTCACAGCGCACATGTTTAGCCACACATATATCCACACATATCAAAATACATGTACACATGTAAACGATCCACACACATATGCATGCCTGCATAAAGATGCCTGAACTCATAAAGACATACACACATAAGATATACATACATATATAAACTATACACACATACACATACGCATAGACATACATGCATGCATAGATAGATAGATACCTAGACTCAGAAAAACCTGAGGTCACACATATAGATGTATGTGTGTACACACACACACACACACACACACACACACACACACACATAAATATACATATGTAGTGTATCTTCCTGAATCCAAGTGTGTGTGTGTGTGTATACACACATATATATATACAAATACATACACATACAAATATGCATATACATGTACACACATACACACACACATACATACCTGGATTCAAGAAGACATATAATACACACACACACACACACACAAGTTCACATACACGTACCAGCATTTATATATATGTACTCTCTCTCTCTGTCTGTTTCCCCACACACATATATAATATGTATGTATGCATACGCATGTATATACATGCATACATATCTACACACACCTGAATTCCCATATGCATATACATGCATGTATGTGCATATATTGTACATGTGTGTATGTGCATACACATACACATACACATACACATACACATACATATACACATACACATACATATACATATACATATACCTATACCTATACATATACATATACATATACATATACATATACATATACATATACATATACAGATACATATACATATACATATACAGATACATATACATATACACATACACATACATATACATATATACATATACATATACATATACACACAAGTATGTGTGTATATGTATATGCCTGTACTCAGGAAAACCTTAGTTCTAATTCAGCCTCAGACAATTACTAGACGTATGACCCTGGACAAGTCATTTAACCTCTGTCTACTTCAGGTTCCTTGTCTGTAAAATGAGGATGATAGTAGCATCTACCTCCTGGGGTTCTTGTGAGGATCAGATGAGGTATTTGCACAGCCTTTGCCAACCTTACTGCACTATCATTGTTGTCGTTATTTTTCCGTGCTCTATTTCCCAGTAGAATCTTAGCTCCTTGAGGACAAGGACCGTTCTCTTTTTCCGTTTGTGTCTCTGATGCCAGGCACATAGGGGACGCTTCCCAGCATTTGGCTGACTGCCGGGGTCTGGCCCCCACCTTTGTCTCCACCATCGTGGGTGGCTGGATGGCTGTTCCTTTCCTTCTTGTAGATCGTTTTGTACAAAGATTCCACAAACTTCCTCAATGTTTCTCCCTTCTATTTATCACCCTGAGTTTCATTGAATTCTTCCTTGTGATGTAACAAAGACAAAAACACTGAATGGGGCGTCTAGAGACCTAGATCCTAGTCCAGGTTCCCTATCGCTGGATGCCTATTCAGCCACCTGGGTGAACCGTCTACACCAAATCACTCCCGCTCTGATTTTGCCTCGTGTGTGGTCTGTTGTGGCCATGGAGAGTGTTTTCCAGTGCTCACTGCATTCTTTTTAAAACCTGATGACCCCAACTGGATGTGATATTCCCTTTTAGGGTCTGACTAATAGAAAGCAGACTTCAGAAGACACAGGAGGCTCATCTGTCTTGTTCCCGTGGCATTTCAAGTTGAGTCCAGAGGGACCAGAAATGTAAGAGAGATGTCCTTGGGCTCCTAACAGAGAAACTTTAGCTGTGGTTCCATGAGGCTGAGACAGCTTCTCAATCCCACATTCAGTTAATTCTTTGAAACAAGCGACTTGTTTGGCATGGAGAGACAAAACTAAAACCAAAAACAAACAAAACCAAAAAGAAAAAAAAATGGATGGGCTGAACTTGTCAGTTCTTAAGCAGGGGACCAATGACTGTGCTGCCGTTATGGGCCTGCAATACTCCATTGTCATTTGTGTGATTCCATGAGGCTCCCCCTCCACCCCCCCCACCTGCACAAAGGGCAGTATGGCAGGTGTTTCTTTTATTTCTTAGATGGAAATGAATCTCTTTTCATTGTTGGAAGAGTTGGGGGGAAATTTTGCTGTCCTTGCTTGAAATCATCGTAGTATTGCCAAACCAGACCTGGGAACCAAAGACTGCTAGAGCCGGGAGGGATTTTAGAGCTCAGCTCATCCAGTATCCCTGTTTTACCAAAGAGGAAACTGAGACCCAGAGAGCATGATGAAGTAGACTCCAGCCCTTATTGCTGGAGATGGTTGAACTCAACATGGTCTCTGAGACCACAGAGGGTATTACCAAAAAGCTGATGAGATGCATTAAGGAGGCATCCTAACAGCCTAGTATTTGGGAAAGGGCAGTCCCACTGCCTTAGCCAGACCCTCTCCAGAATATTGTGTTTTATTCTAGAAACCACATTCTAAAGAAGGACATTGATCAGTCGGAGAGGATCTCATGATCATGCTCTCTAAAGATCAATGGAAAAAACTGAGAATCTGGAGAATTAAAAACTTGGGGGGTGGGTCATGATAATTTACTACCTTGTTGACTCTGGCCAAGTCACTTAACCTCTGTGGGCCTCATTTTCTTCATCTCTAAAAGGAAGTGTTTGGCTTAGATGTGGTCCTTTACAGCCCCAAACCTATGACTCTGGCTTTATGAATGTTTGAAAGACATTTCACAGTATGTCTTTCATACTATGTATATACATAGTATACCTTTCATAGTATGGAAGAGGAATTAATTT